TGGAACATACAAGCCCAATGCTCTGCAAACTGAGCTACGCGGTTAGGTCGGTTCGAGTATCATATTCACCTGAGTACATTGCACCAACACAGAAACAATTCATGATTATTAGATTACACTGATATCGACGGAACTAGATTCGGTTCCGAAATATCATATACTCGAACCGACCTGACCGCGTAGCTCAGTTGGCAAAGGCTCAGAGCATTGGGTTAGTATTCCAAAGGTCGTAGGTTCGATTCCCACCGTGGAAGGCATATTTTTCAAGCTTGCCCGGATCATACTGTATACAGTTGTTCCGGGTTAGTCACTGAAAAACCCTGATAAGGAGTGTGCTGTGCAATATCTATATCTGCAAAGGGACGACCATTGAACTTATGAGAGGGAGAGTTGATTTGGAGAAAAAATTTCCTGCAAGGCTATTATGAACAAAAAAATACCTGCACTAACAAACTGGGGGGGGGGATATCCTGCCCCAGTATTTGGTGGGAACTAAATGTTGCAAAAATAGCATGGTTGCAGGGAACGATTTGACCAGTCCCAGAAGATCAGCTGGTTTGATTTTCAGCGACTAGTGTAAGGGCTATTTCATTGTCTACTAAAAAAGCACACTTTTTACAAAGGATATATAGTGAAAACTCGTCCATAAATAATCTGAATTATTATTTTTACTAAAATAGGCGTGTTATTATAAAACTAGAATGCTTACCAGTAACTATTCCTGTGTCATATGAAAGAAAATATGACACGCAGAAATCGAACGAAAATTATGCCAAGAAAATTCGGCCTTTCCGTTTGCCGTACTTTTTACGCGAAGCTTTAATAATTAGCTCTCTATAAATATCTCAATCGAGACAGCTATACGAATTCGAGAAACCAATATTCAGGCTCTTGTCAGCAGCCTGCCTATTAGCGTAACGGATTTCATTGTCTGTGCTTATTCCCACAGAATCAGACTCAATCTTAATATAAAGATCTATTGAATAAACCAAATGTCCTACCTCATAGCAATATGTATTAGTAAAAATTTAAAAGCAATGCATGAAGCTAGAAAACTGAACGCTAACTATTATTAAAGAATCTAATTAGTATAAGCTATTGAAAAAAACTGCTTCGAAAGAGAGAGTTGCAAAAAATATTGTACATGGTGATGGATAGGGAAAAAAATCTTGCACATAACGATCCCAGAAAAAAATTCCCTTCCAGCAGTAAATCAAAGTTAAATGGTCTGCCCTCATCAATGAAGTATAAAACAGGAAACACTGGTTGGTTTGGCAAAAAAATTCCCTGCGAGAATACAGCCATTTTCGTCCAAGCACAAACCGCAAACATTTTCGCGCGTTTGTTTACGTTTGAAACGGGGCGTTTACCGTTGGAAACTGAAATGTTTCACCGCTCATGTGACGTGTCACATTGAAAAGCCTTAAGCTATTTTTGGCGCAACTATCATGTTTTGATGTGCCTCCGTGCACGTTTCAATATTTCCAAGCCCATGATAATACGTTTTAGTCACAAAAAGTATGAATATAAACAAGTTTGGTCGCTCTTACAATATCGTGAGCTTGGAAATACTGAAAAGTACACGAAAGCACATCAAAACATGAAAAATAACTGAATTAGGCTTTTCACAATAACACGTCACATGAGCGGTGAAACATGTCCGTTTCCAACGGTAAACGCCACGTTTCAAACGTAAACAAACGCGCGAAAATGTTTGCGGTTTGTGCTTGGACGAAAATTGCTGTATCGGTTTCCTCTCCCACGAGAGTGGGTTAATCTCATTTTTCGTTCAGGTTTTTGCGTTTATTGTTGCGAATTTTTGTTTTTGTAAAGTGGAAACACCACATGAATTTTTAATTTCTTTTCAGTGGGCGCCATATTTTCATACACCTGTTGTTTGCAAACTGTGTCTTCGAATACTCTCGTTTTTATGATCAGAAATTCTGTAAGAACTGAAGTATTATACAGATTCAATAAAGGCAGACTCGTGGGAACAATTAGGTGATATTTTCAATCGAAATTTGGCCGTACGGGGAAAAGATCAAAAGCTGAAACTGATGTCTACGAAATGTGATGTTTGTAACAAGGTACTTTCTGGAAAAGGAAGTTTGGCGAGACATAGGAGAACACACACTGGGAACAAAACTTTTGAATGTGATGTTTGCAACAAAAGATTTTTGCGACCAGACATTTTAGCTATCCATAAGAGAACACACACTGGAGAGAAACCTTATGAATGTGATGTTTGCAACAAAAGATTTTCTGACCCAAGCACCCTAACTAGACATAAAAGAACACACACTGGAGAGAAACCTTATGAATGTGATGTTTGCAACAAAAGATTTTCTGACCTAAGCACCCTAAATAAACATAAGAGAACACACACTGGAGAGAAACCTTATGAATGTGATGTTTGCAACAAAAGATTTTCTAATCCAAGCCACCTAACTAACCATAAGAGAACACACACTGGAGAGAAACCTTATGAATGTGATGTTTGCAACAAAAGATTTTCTGACTCAAGCACCCTCACTAAACATAAGAGAACACACACTGGAGAGAAACCTTATGAATGTGATGTTTGCAACAAAAGATTTTCTGACCCAAGCATCCTAACTAAACATAAGAGAACACACACTGGAGAGAAACCTTATGAATGTGATGTTTGCAACAAAAGATTTTCTGACCCAAGCTCCCTAATTAAACATAAGAGAACACACACTGGAGAGAAACCTTATGAATGTGATGTTTGCAACAAAAGATTTTCTGACCCAACCAACCTAATTCAACATAAGAGAACACACACTGGAGAGAAACCTTATGAATGTGATGTTTGCAACAAACAATTTTCGCAGTTAGGCCAATTAGTGGTCCATAAACGAACGCACACTGGCAGAAAACCTTATGAATGTGATGTTTGCAACAAACAATTTTCGCAGTTAGGCCATTTAGTCAGACATAAAAGAACACATACTGGAGACAAACCTCATGAATGTGATATTTGTAAGAAGAGATTTTCAGAATCGCACAAATTAACACGACATAAAACATCAGCACACAAGAGAAATCAGAGTTTTCAGTGCGGTATCTGCAAGAAAACATTCACACAACGACAAAGTCTCAAACGTCATTGGAGGTCACACTTGAGAGATGGCTTATTATTGTGCCACACCTGTGGCAGAGAAATTATTCAAGGTCAAGGACATGCTAATGAGATACAGAAGAGTGATGATCATTTTGACTGTGACAAATGCAACAAACAGTTCCCTGATGTTGAAAGTTTATATCAGCACAAGGCCAAAGACCATGGTATGTCCTACCAATGTGATGTCTGTAAGGAATTAGAAGCAAGAGAAGCAACTGGTATTGGTTATATCTGTTGTGCCTGTGATGCCGAGTTTGAAGTTGCCACTGAACTTGAAGATCATATGAGTATGCATGACAATGTGCTGCCCCACTAGCTAGGCAACATAAATTGAAAACATTTGTGTGATATGTTGTAATGTGTTGAAAATCTATCTTGAAGTTGTTTTGAGATTCTTTGAAATTGATTAATAACTTGTTTTCAGATTGTCTTGAATAAACTTGTTAAAAAGAAGTATAACTGTTCAATTTTCAAATGATGTTAATATTTTGCTAAGGGAAGCCTCACATATCGATTTTGTCCATGAGAAACGTCATATGTTCGTTTCTCTGGAGACCTCCCCCCCCCCCTTAGAAACGTCACACATAGTTATTGATATTTTGTTCTTATAGTACACATAAGCTAATTTTCTACGGTTCGCTTTTGGCGATGCTTCTTTTTTTTTTCGTTTTTAAATGAGGCTTTAGACATTGGAGAACCATCCTGAAGTTGACTTAGGTCATTATTTTTGTTTGTTTCCTTTGGATAAGGTGTTTTGTCTACCTTTTGATGTGGTTGCCATGGGAACGTGTTTGTTATTTTTTGTTTTGTTGCCTTTTTCTCCCTGATAAACGCAAATTTATGCATGTCATCTACATTTCTGACTACATGAAGTTCTTCACAAGGCGTAGATGCCAACAATGCATCATGGACAGGCGTGCCTTAAAGCAAAGCCTAGTAAAGTATACCCCTAAAAATGTGAGTTATGTGACTATCTTCCCAGTATAGACAAAAAACCTTGCTGTAATCAGTAATTAAAAACTCCTTCACATAAAACAGCTTTCACTGCGCTTGCACTTGCAAGCATGGCCTAAACTCTTCAGCCAAAAACAAATCCATGGCCTTGGACAATGACGTACTACTGCATTGGGAGCTGAATATACATTAGTGAAGTTCTTTTTCCCAGCGCCGGTTTTACACAGTGGCAGATGCGGCATATGCCACGGGCCCCGCGCCTTCCAGGGCCCCGCGATTTAGGCTAGAAGTATACGATGCTATATTATTAATTATTATTTATATTTTTAGCCTAGTGGGGCCACTTACTCCTAGGTGGCGTGGGGCCCTTTAATGTACTTGCCAAATGCCACTAGATCCATCACAGGATAAATTAGTTATAGCAGCGGAGCTTTGATGTATTTGAGGACAGTACTTAGGGGCGGACCATTAGAAATCCCGGGCGGGGGGGGTATAAAATTTTTGCGGCACGATTTTTTTTTTCAGTCTCATGTCTCTGCAGGTTCGGATGTACAATCACCGGAAGTTCGGATGTACAAGCTCATATTAGAAAACAAACTAGAAACAGTATTTCCAAATATAGAAGTCGCACTTCGTATTTATCTTTCTCTTATGATATCTAATTGCTCTGGCGAAAGATCTTTTTCAATATTGCGTTACATAAAGAAGTCGTACAGATCCACCATGGGTCAGAGACGGTTGAACGACCTGATATTACTAAGTGCTGAACAAGACATTCTTCGTGAGCTTGACCTAAATTCACTCATCAATGACTTTGCGCTCATGAAATCTCGAAAAAAGAGTATTTACAAATCATCGTAAATTGATAACGGGAACATTTTAAAGTAATATACAGCTATTTCAATTAAGGTTGTCCAAGAGCAAAGCGGTAAAGTCGAATACGAACGCGAAAGGCTTGCTGGAAATTGCTAATAAATTAATAATTTTCAGTTAGGGATTCCCAGCAAGCCTTCCGCGCTCGTATTCGACTTCTCCGCTTTGCTCGGGGAAAACCTTGATTGAAATAGCTGTATGCCACAAGGATATAATAGTACTGAATTATAAATAAAAAAATTTCAAATACCAAGTTAAATATATACTACACTTGTCTCTAATTTTCTCTCAGACTTTAGAGTTGCTATATGCGAAGCGAATGCCACGTCGCTACGATTTATGCTTAAAACGAGGTAAATTTCCAGGTTATAGTCTATAGAGAAGGCAAAAATTTGGGGGCCCGCGCGAAGAAAATGCAACGGGCCTCTGATGGTGTAAACGCGGCCCTGCTTGAGATATCTCCGTATTTTTGATAAATTTTAAGGGAATATAATTACTTTGCACAGAATGTGATTTATTATTAATAGCGAGTGCGATGATTTACCATTGCAAATAATATACTTACTGCTTATGTTACTTTAAAACAAATGGGTCAAAGTTTTAAATATTGGTAGAAACGTAAATATTCTGACGACAGCGTTGTTATGTAATCCCTACGCGTATAACACAAAGGTTGAGGTAGTTAAGGAGATCAAGGCAATACGAATTTGCATAACCAATAGAATCCTAATGGATATAAATGGATATTAATACGGTCGGTCGTGGGCATGTTTGGGCGAATAGTCAATATTTTCGCTGCGCTCAGCAATTTTTCGCGTCCCACCTCATCAAATGACAATAGCTAAGCGTCCGTGTAAATTTCGGGAGCGTTTAATATTCGAATTGAGAGTCATGAACTACAATGCATCTTGAACTATTTTTGGTATTGGGAACAAGAAGACCATTAGAGTCGATTGCTGCAACATTATTTAGCAAACCTCCTACATACATATGTGATGTTTACAAGATGATCGGTGAACGATTGAAGAGTCAGATCGTAAAAGCTTATCATGAATACTTGAAGGAAAAAACGTTTAGAACAGTTGTGGTATATTTTGCCATAAAAAATATGTTTTTATCAAATATGCGGTCGTTATATACGTTGCTATGTGTTACCAGTCATGGATTAGCGACGCTTGGGTGCATGCATATAGTATTGATACTATAAACTGTTATATTACTTATTTAACGCTATGGTTTTGAATACCTTATCCGGCTTCTTTCCTTTCCTGTTGATAATTGAGATACTTATCAAGTTCCGCCTCGTAGTAGCTTACCGATTTCTTTAGGTTCTACTTGTTTCCCCCATTCATACAGTAGTCATCATATGTCTTCTGTCTTGTTCTGTTTTTTTCCGTTTGCCTCTTGTTCTGTTTTTTTTTCCTTTATCCTTTGCATATATTCTGCAAGTGCTCCAGGTATTCATGCACTAAGTTTTCCTTTACAATGAATTTACAATTGTAATGCATTCTTGGTCGGTTGCAGATATACGATCATTGTCAAACTCCACTTTCAAGTTTTTTCTTGGCTGGAAATCATCCGGATATCTTGTTTCTCCACTGGGTTGCTTGTTAGAGCTATCAAACACTGGTTTGTAGTGGCAACAGGGAAGACTGTTATAATCTTGTTCTGATCGAGGAACCCTGTCCGTCTTCGGACCAACCCAACAGTGCTATAATTGAGAAAAATGTATGCAAGCCCCCCTCCATCATTAAAAAATTCTTACATCTCCCCTAAAATATTTGCTCAGAAATGTCTACGCTCCCCACACATTTCATCCCCCCCTGTATTAATAATGAAGGGTCCCTAGAAATCATAGCCGTACGGGAGGGTGGGGCTGGGGGGGGGGCTGTAGCCCCCCCCCCCAATTTTTTGAGAATTTATCTATATTCGGGCAAAAATTGTCTTGTCATTCGGGCAACGACGGTCTGGTGGTTAGACGAATATATTGATCCATAAAGCGGAACAGAAGTATTATTTCAACAAGTTCAACTTTTACGGGTTCAATCATGCACTGTAAATCTGTAATGGTAACGTTTGTGTATATTTATTACTACCATAGATCGCATAGCTGTGGTAGTAATAAGGTCAAGTGCTCTAAGGTCAAGTGCTCTAACTTAATCGGATTTGGTTTTGATTTTTACGCACATATACCACAGACGTATTAAAATCCCCACAGAAACGATTGCTATGGCTACTAATAAAATGTCACTACTGTATTTATGCCTATATTCAGGCAACTGGCACTACTGTATTCATGCCTATATTCATGCCCATATTCTATACAACTATTAGCCTAAACTATAGAAGAATATAGTATATAGCTGCACATATTGCGAAGGTGTGGTATAAGTGTGCGTAGTAACAATCGGATCAGTAATGTTTATCTCCCTTGATTGCATTGGTTGCGTAAATACAGTCTCTGGCCCTGGGGGCACCGCGGCTATGACACAGCAGTCACTGAAAATAGATACTACATTATTATTGACATCGACGTAACCGTACAAATACTGCAGCATGTACAATGACCTAATGTGACTAATTTTAGGCTTTTAGATAGACATAAAAGTGCGCGATTTTTTTACACTCATTAAAAAATTGTTGATTTTACGACCATTAACTCCACGATCGCTATAGAAACAATCGCCTAGAAGATTACAATTGCATCTCGTAAAAGACAGAACCGACATCGCGTTCGGTGCGAGGAATGCAATAAGGAAATCGACAGTGATTATAAAGAGGTGCATTCTCGATTGGTTCACAATGGTAAAAAGTAAAATGTTATCCATTGATGGAATCATCGGATTCATCCCAGTCGAAAATCAATACTTTCTTTGTAAAAAGTTACATGACAACCAAGAATGATGACCTGCAGTATGAGCTAACCCTACTTGGAACTGAATCGAGTGGTAGTAAAAATTCTGCAGTCACGGTGTCTTTTGATCAAGATCTATCTGAGAAAAATGTGAAGGAACCCATGAGCGAAGACCAAACGGAACCAATGACAACGTTCACTGATGTTGATGAATTAAATTCACTGTCACAGCTCAGAGAAAATAGTGAACAGAATACGGTGACGGACAGTGAAAATGTTACACCATCTTTTGGTCGAAACGCGGACAGGGTTGCCTTCCTCCTCAACTTTAAACTCTCGCTCCTTATCCTCGCCTTTTATCGTGTCCCATAAAATTTCCACCTATTTTAGTTTCTACATAATCGTAATTTCCCTAGTTTTTTACTTACATGTTCATCACAGGACTGAGTCGGAGTTAAGAAATTAGAGAACAACAATTTTTGGAATACTGGTCCTCTCATTATTTAGGCTACACAATGTCTTGCACCAGTACTTGTCCAATTACCCATTTTATACCAAAAAAATGTTGTTACGTTAGTAACTTTCTCTTTCTTTGTAAATCGTAATGCCATATATTTAGCTTATAATTGAAATGGCTAGGGACAACATATTTCTTTTTATATCAATCTTGAAGGACTTCAAAGGAAAGCCTTTCATTTGTAGTCTTCTTAGATTGTATAATTTTATGATGACGTCACGAAATCTATGACGTCATGTCATTCGGGCAAATTCAGCCCAGCCCCCAAAAAATAATGTGCCCGTACGCCTATGCTCGAAATAATTATAGTTTAAATTTGCACTTTCTAATTCACTTCATTGTTTGAACTTACAGTAAAAATGTATATAAGAGATTAATTTTGGAAAATAAATATGTTTAGATAAAAACTGATTGCTCAAGTGATTGATTTAGTATACAAAATAATTTACAAACTTTTTACAATTTCATTTACAAACTATTTACAACTAGTTGCTAACAATTTACAAAACTATTTACAATGTCCTTTACGAACTATTTACAAATATAAAGTTTGTTCGTTCACTGCAACCAGGTATATCAATCATGTTTCGCTCGCTACTCTGGTTTAAATAAATGATTACAAAGCCCAGTCGAATTGTAATCAAGACCCAACGTTTCGACACTCCAGTCTAGTGTCTTCATCAGAGGTGATCTAAAACTGTGATCGTGGCTTCTTAAATACCCAAGGCACGACGTCACCTGCCAAGAAGATGCATATATTCCTCTGGCAAATAGGCGCCGTCATCCTTATTCAAAGCATGATGACTCATATTTATATGCCACGCTTCTAGGCAATGTCTTTGACCATAGCGATTGTTTGTGGTAATTACTTTAGAGTTTTCCCACGCAGCTTTAGCCGAACATGTATGTTACACCAAACACGAGATTGCGTGGGAAAACTCTAAAGTAATTACCACAAACAATCGCTATGGTCAAAGACTTTGCCTAGAAGCGTGGCATATAAATATGAGTCATCATGCTTTGAATAGGGATGACGGCGCCTATTTGCCAGAGGAATATATCATGCATCTTCTTGGCAGGTGACGTCATGCCTTGGGTATTTAAGAAGCCACGATCACAGTTTTAGATCACCCCTGATGAAGACACTAGACTGGAGTGTCGAAACGTTGGGTCTTGATTACAATTCGACTGGGCTTTGTAATTTTTTATTTAAACCAGAGTAGCGAGCGAAACATGATACTTACAAATAGTTTCTAATAATTTACAAACTATTTACAATTTCATTTACAAACTATTTACAACTAGTTGCTAACAATTTACAAACTATTTACAATGTCGTTTACAAACTATTTACAAATAGTTACTAATAATTTACAAACTATTTACAATTTAATTTACAAACTATTTACAAATAGTTACTAATAATTTACAAACTATTTACAATTTAATTTACAGACTATTTACAACTAGTTGATAATAATTTACAAACTATTTACAATTTAATTTACAAACTATTTACAAATTGTCACTAATAGTTTACAAACTATTTACAACTTAATTTACAAACTATTTATAACTACTGGCTAATAATTTACAAACTATTTACAATTTAATTTACAAACTATTTACAAATAGTTACTAATAATTTACAAACTATTTACAATGTCATTCGCAGACTATTTACAACTAGTTGCTAATAATTTACATACTATTTACAATTTAATTTACAAACTATTTACAAATTGTCACTAATAGTTTACAAACTATTTACAATTTAATTTACAAACTATTTGCAAACACTTGCTGATAATTT